TAAGAGACCAGTTTTGCATGGAGAAAACCCCCCCCACCATGCATGGTGGTGGTGGCGTGGGGGGATTAAGGCAAACTGCGAGTTGCCCAAATGTGAGACGACTTAGCTTAATTCAGTCGACTTGTCAACAAGTCGGCTACATAGTGAATACCCTATTCACCATACCAGTTCAGAGTCCCTTTCCCTGAATATTGTTTTTAGTGATGACCCTGCAAAATTTGAAGTGATAGGAGCTAGAAGCTACAATTTGAGGTATTCAGATTAAGCCTAAAATATTTAATAACATACTCTGCATGATTCATATACTCACCGCCATCCCAGATGGGGCAGACCACCTTAATCCATTCAGAAACATGGCCTCAAAGTTAGAGGAGTTGTTAAATATCTGACTCTGTTTCAGTTTTTTGCAAGCTGTCTTTAAATAGAAAGCTTGAAATTAATTACTGAACCAAGTTACAAACCAAAACTCTCATTCAAAGAAGCTTCTGATGACCCAGCAATTTTTTAAGAGATGGTGGGAAGGAAAGATTATTCAGGCCAAAGATTAATTGACAGAAATAAAAGATTAATGTTCACAGCAGAGTCCATTAAAATCTTCAAAGCATTTGTCTTTTTTTTTTTTTTTTTTTTTTTTTTTTTACACATTAGCTCTACTTGAGGACAGCATGAGAGAAGAGGAGTTTTAAGCTCCCTTCTATCAAACATCTAAAAATATTATTTCACACTGCACAGTATGTGTTCACCCATGTGATGTGTATTTTTACAGGTAAACCCATTGTTAAACATTCTTTGTGGGTGTATTATATTACAGCTGAATTTATGACACAGCAAACTGTACACTGGTTTGTCATTAAGAAGGATATTTGGAGTGTTTTTGTGGGCTTGTTTTGTTTCCCAGATATTACGATCTCAAATCCATTGGTGGTGTGTAAACAGGCAATTAACAAACAAACAGTAATTAGTTCATGTAATTGTTCTCCATTACATTTCTCAGCGGCCAAACTGTTTGACAGGCAACCCAAGTACTGTTGCCTTGTAATTAATAATATTTGCTTATTTTTATTTTACCCCTAGAGGGGGCAATTTATTGTAAATAAGAATTGTGAAAGAAAAGAAAAATACTAGAAAAATGAAAGGCATCATAAAAAGTTAAAAAGCATACTAACATCTCATTTTTATTATTTCTAGTCTTCTGCCTGCAATTAGTACATATTTTTGTATCTGACCCAATCAGTGGTTTATGGAAATGAAGTGAATTTACCTTCAAACAGCCAGCAATGTAGGTTCCGTAAACAAATGTGTAAATTAGAAGAATAAGCTGTTCCATATGGTCACTAGCAAATGTTTGTTTCAAAATTCACATATCTTCCTATATCTCCTTATTTGTGGATAATGTAGAGGGGAATTGTGTTAGAGCTCTTATTTCAATTGTTTTTAGTTTGTTGTTCTCCAGCAGCCTCCACAGTCACCGAATCTCTATTTATAAGACACCCCTTTGATGCAATGCAAAAGAAGATTTGCATTGGCTGAATGTTTGGCCACATCATATTATATAGATATTGAAAAAATATCTGAGAAATGTTTGGTTTATTTCATGAATAGTTAAAACAGTTTTTTACTAGATCTATCAAGTTTAGAAATCTTTAACTGAGTTGCCATATATTACTGCTGTCAGTTCTCCTTACACACAAAGCCACTTTTATATGATATATATGTTTATACAAGAAAAAAATAACCTAAGTTTTCCAAAGCTTTAAGGCTCAAGAAAAAACCAATACTGTTAAATCATTAGGAAAAAAATATCCTAAAATCCTCTCACTGTATAGTCGTATTAAAATCTGACTAAGATACTAAAAAGGAGAAAGAAAAACAGTTGTATAAAATGCGTGTTTTCCCTCAGATGGTTTCTGTTTCATTTTCTTAATATTATGTGACCAAGAGGGGTCTGCATTTATTAGACACAATATCAAATTACTGGTTTCCCCTGTGGCTGAATGTAATCCCATTTTAGAAATACATCTGGGCCTCGACTGGTTCATTTCTTTTTCACCACTTTGAATTATGTGACTTTCTCAAGCCGGTTTTTTGTTTGTTTTTTGTTCGTTGCTGTTGTTTTTTTGTTTGTTTTTTTTGGTGTACCTTTTTCCTGTAGGAATGAAAATGTATTTTATCCTAACTCTTCTTAAAAATTGATTAGAAGAATACATTATTGATTAGATTTTGCATTCATAAATAGGTTTGTTTCCTTTGGTACGCTGTATTGTTGCTGAATACACCCTGTTTGCATTGCTTTGTCTTAATTTTTAATTGTGCATCCTTCATAAATTATGATTTATAGGATTATGGAAAAAAATTTTCAAGTTAAGCTGAAAAATGCGGCTTAAAATCTAGTCATGCAATGGCGGGTGCCACCATTTTCAATGTAAACATTACAATGCAGATGTACAGACAGGGATCTGGAGCAAACAAGTCGTCGCTATGTCCTGTATTTGTTCTGTCCAGTCACTGAACCAGATTAGTCCAATCTGTAGAGTGAATTAACCTGTTCAGATTTGACTCACCTGGTTCAGGCGCTCCAGAGACGCATGGCTCAACACAGCCGGGCTACCTCCTCCGGACAAGATACGGCAGTCTATCTACACCTTATGGACAAAGGACATTCTTTTAAGGAACAGAATGTTCATATTTTGGACAAAGAAGACAGGTGGTTTGAAAGGGGTGTGAAGGAAGCCATTTAGGTTAAGAAAGAAAAAAACATCTATAAACAGAGGGGGTGGACTCAGGATTCAGCATTCAACAACCTACAATGCAGCAATAGAGCTGATTCTCCCTCGCTATCATGGCAACCCCCACCCCCATACAGGGGACCAAACATCTGGCCTGTTCAGCCAGGCCAACAATTCCCCCTAACGACCCCCTTTGAGAGGCATAGACCAGTATTGGTATTGCAGGCTAACAAAGAACGACTCCCCATTTCTAAGGGGCGGACCCATTCTTCCGCTTCAACTTGCATGTTTTCTAAGCAAAAACAAGCCGTTGTTTTGGTCAACTCTATAAAGCCTTGAACTCAACACTAATTCTGACATTTTGATTTGAAAAAGTTTCCTGGATGGGAAGCGAAACGTCTTCAAACTTGGAAACAAAGTCCGGTGGATTGTTTAACGTTTTGGAATCACCTGGTTTAGTGGCCGGGCAGAACAAATACATGACAAAAGGATGACTTCTTGACTCCAGATCCCCCATCCCTGGCAGAAAAACATCTAGATAGTGCTGGGCACTGGAAATTTAGGACTGGAATTGAGGAACCCAGGTCTATGTCCCACAATGAGGCACAGCTAATTACAGAATATGTACGCAAGGCAAACCTTTAATGAAAAGAGTAAACAAAATAGATTATAATGAATAGTGCGAATAAATGATAGTAGGAGAGTGAAGAAAAGTGATCAGCGTAACTTCCAACAGCCTAAGCCTATAAAGGCATAACTAGATAAAGAAGCGTACGGTGTGGTATTGGTGCCAAAATGAATACCCTAACCATAGAGGTGCCTACTTCCTTAGTGCAGGAGGCTATATCCATTCCGATGCCTGCTACTGATCTGATCTATGATAGGATGGCACCGGTAATGGAATGGCTGGTTCCAGCAAATGAGTTGATGAAGCTAGTAACTGAGAGGCTAGTGACTAGAATGATTAGGCTGGTCACTCCCTGTATTGCCTACTTCCTCTGCTTCGCATTAGCACAGAAGGGCTGGTTTCAGCCTTGGCTATGCAGGTGTTAGCCTTGGATAGGCTGGTGTTAGCCTTGCATTGGCATGTCTTTCCCATGAGCAATGCATTTCAAACAGATTTTAACAGTTGATACAATAAATTTAAGAATTATTTCTGGAACAAAAAGTGCTAAAACCTTTCCAGTTGTTTCAGTATTACTATTATTGTTAGTGAGAATACTGTTAAGCTTCAGCTGTTAGCGCTTTTAACATTAAACAAAGACATTAAATGATAATTAAATTTAACAACTTGATTGCACACACAGTGAAAACACTCCGATCATCTGCAGAAGTCAAGAGTATGTGCACCTGATAACGTGTGTTGATGGGGCTCAGTATTCTCTCCTTTTTGACTCACCCTTCCCATTTTTTAAGTTGCATTTCTGGAGAATTAAAAAGATTGAATATTAACAGGGATTCAATAACTATAAAAACAGATTATTGAAAATCAGTATGCTTTGCACATGTGTAATTCAAAATGTACATCCGTAATGTAACAGTAGGCAATTCGATGGCAAAGGCCTGTGTCAGTCAGTGTAACACAGCTCCACTAGAGTTGAGGCAGAGTCACGCACTGCCTCAACTATTTTTTCTCCCATTTATTTCAGTGGCAATTTGTAAAATCAGAGATTTCTATCCTAAAACAAAATTATATTTATACAGATAACAAATTCATACAGAAATTTCAAATTTCCATTGAATCATGGAATTTTATTTTTCACAATGACAGGTGAGGCACTGCCTTACTTGCTACCCCTGACTGCACATTACTGCACAAACCCCAAGATGAACCCTCATGTCTGTCTGGTCTAAAAAAGCAATTTGCACTGTGAGTGTTTTTTATGACTAAACATACAATATGCAAGTAAAGTCTATTCACCAATCGACATGATCAGGGTCCTTTCATACCACCCTGATTACTTTAACACATCAGTAGCTTCAATGAAAAGATTTATGGTGCTCTGGATGTTAATAATAATGTACAAATTAATAGAATGGGACAAGAATTAAATTCCGAGGCTTCTGATAATCCAGGTTACTTAGCTTTAGCAGTTTTTGCGTGACTATCACATCTTAACTTCAAAAGGTTCGTCAAAATGGTGGCATGTTCATTGTATTTCTTACCTTACTCCTTAGTAGGTACTACTCCAACCATGAACAACATGTACACTGCAGGCGATATACGAAATGATTAAGTTGTTGATTTTTTTTTTTTATTGTGTGTGTTTTTAGGTCTCTACAGGACTTATCAAAGCAGACTGAATTGCCTTACGGAACAGTGTTGGATTCTGCAGTATATGATCAGGTGCGATCAAAGGCTATGAACCCATTTGAGCGAGATCCCATGTACTCCCAGATGTGGCGGATGATTAATCGCACTGGAGGAGCAGATAATAACGTTGAGGAGTCGAAGGAAGGTATTCGCAAGGTAGGCTTACCCCTTTTTAAATTTGTTAAGACCTTTGGCATATATAGAAATAACAGTGGTTATTAAAACAAATATTGGAGTCAAAAGACTCATGTGATAAATTTACTATAAATGGGACCAGGTGCCAGGAAGCAATATGACTCCGGTTATTTATTACTCAGTGCAAAGCATTTCAATTCAAGCTACATAGCTTTTGCTGACATTTGATCACATCATTTTTGAAAGCATGCATAAACCTCCATAGCAGCTTTAGACCTTGATGCATTCATCATTATAGAGTTATTTTTTTTTTTTAGGTTTTACAGTTTTGAATAGAAAAAATTCTTCTGCATCAGAAATAAAATTGTGTTATGATTCATGATAGATTTTGAGATATGTAATATTCCACATTACAGTATTTATTTTATATTTTCCTTTGAAAAGCTAAAGGGTACATTTAGAAGTAGGTTTATTTTGTGTGCGCATTTCTGGAAATGAAGACTAGTCATATTTTCAATCTGGAAGACCCTACAGAGTCTTAGCTGCACATCACGATTAACCTGTCATCCAGATCTACCAATGCCAATCTTCTCCTGCTCTCCAAGCCTCCTTTACAGCCTACTATAGCATCAAAGTCTCTCCTTTAAAAGCTGCTTCTTCAGGGGCAGGTTCCTGCCTCCAACCAGCTGCAACCCACTTCAACCTTCTTTAACACCCTGTTCTACCTCCTACTTAATTCAGCTCCCTTCCTCCTTCATCTTCAATTTCGCCGCTAGTATCCATGCCCCAAGGGGAAGATATCATAAAACTGCCCAAACTATCATCTTCAGCAGTGCTCAGCTCCATCTCTTCTTTTGGGGTCTGAGCCCCAAAAACAGTTCTATCAATTAATCTAAAAAAACACTCTAAATGCCTTCTTGTCTTATTGTGAGTCTTTTCAGGTTAATTTTTTATTTTTTTTTATCTTGATAAACAGCAATTAGTTGTTATAAGATAACGTTATATCTGTCTGAATCTCCAGGGCCCCATTTCAGAATGCAGGAAATGCAAAGCCCAAAGTTTTTGGTTTATAAAAACCTAGATAGACGTTATGAGTCAAGTTACTCCATAAAGCAACTAGAAGCAGGATTTGTTGAATTTCTCCATCTGTCGCAATTTTGAGACCTGAGATGAAGGAGGCATCAAAAAACGGTGCATTTTCTGTCAGAGCCTTTAGATATTGGAGAGCAAATGCCCTTTAGGCTCCTTGTTATTAGATGCATTTTGAATTCCACATTTATAGATTTTTGAGCATCACCGTTTTCACCAGTCAATATTTTATCTCAATTAAATTTCAGTCACAAATTCCTTATATGACACAATAATGACAAGTTCTTCAGTGTGATTTTATGCAGAGGGCAAAATGTCAGTAATGTAACACAAAAGTGTTACAGTTTGTGAAAATCAATGTGTTTTAAACACTGAAAAGCTTCTGCTTCGTTCAACTTTATTTTCCAGCACAGCTTTGCAGACAGAAAAGCCGCAAAAAAAATTGCAGAATGATGAACCCCTCCTAATTATTGCCTTAGGGAAGGCAGTAATTAAGTTAGATATCACATTTTGAGATTTAATCAAAATCTGTTTATATATTATTAGGTTTTCAGGCATAATTGGAAGGATATATTCTATTCATATTTATTAAAGTTTATTAAACATACTTTTTAATGCTTGTTACGTGTTCTGTTTGATAAGTGTTTCAATGTTTTCTTGTAAATGTACCTTGTTCAGCAATTTCACATGCAGTTTTATGGACATGAAAATGTCTCAATATCAGCCGAATGTCCGCTCTTTTTTTGCTTTCTTTCATGAACTAAGGTTTAACTTTGGACATATTATTATTTATATTTGCAAAATAAAGCCAACGAATGCCTAGCAGTTCAGTTGGCAAAGCTTAAACATATAACTAATAACTGGACCTTACTTGATTTAATTGCATTTGTATATTCTACATTGATTTACTGCTATGTCATTTTTTCACCTACTGAGTTACACCTAGATGCATATACAGTATCATGTGAACAAACATATTATTTTTAAATATTTGATGAATGTAATATTTATGATATCATTTTGATTCCCAAAAATGGTCCTTGCCTAAATCTTATTGTATGCAGCTGGAATGGTTTAGCTTTTTGTATAAAAACATGTGGTAATATTCTCCATTCATTTAAACAGCATATTTTTTTTATGAAAATTTAGGCTAAAGGGTAAAACTGGAACATTTCTTAATTTCTTGTTTTGTGTTACAACCATTGTTTATTTTTGATCATTTTAAATAGAGGACAGTTAGTATTTCAGTATCTAGCGATGATTTTCTTGTAATCTTCCGATTATAGTATATTTTGTATTTAAGATGTACAGCTTGTTTAAGATGCATCGTGTTTGCAATATGCCTATAATCTACACAGATTAGCCGCTGTCCTCTTTTTAAAAGCTTGTATTGCTGCAGGGTCATTATGGTGGATGGGACGAGATCCATGTAAATTATGTTGATGATGCACATGTAGTATTTACAATGCTTAATTCCCTTGATGATTGCCCAGCAGCATAAACACCTTACTGCTGCACCTTATTTACATGCTTTAAGCTTGCTGTTTGTAATGTACTTTAGCTCAAACATTTAACATTTCCTCCCCCTTCAAAATATATTAGATTTAATATAAAGGCAGCTCTGGGAGAGATGGAAGGAGTGATTAAAGGGCACCATGTCTCTTTTCATACTGTGCAATTAAACTGCCACAAGAAACAAGAAAAAAAAAAATCAGTCCAGCAGCAAAGGTTTTCCCAAACTAAAACAAACTGATTATCTTTGTGAGTGTTTCCTCCTGTTTAGTTATTTTCATTGATCTTAATTCAATCGCACTGATAACTTTAGCTACCAGAATGATATAATAAGAACATATTTTTATTGATCATCTCATTCTGTAGCCTCTATTTCTATATATTACAATCAGGAACCTTACACATGAGAGTACATGTGGTATGTGTATAACTATGATGTACACTCACCGGCCACTTTATTAGGTACCCCATGCTAGTAACGGGTTGGACCCCCTTTTGCCTTCAGAACTGCCTCAATTCTTCATGGCATAGATTTAACAAGGTGCTGGAAGCATTCCTCATGGAGTTTGGTCTATATTGACATGATGGCATCACACAGTTGCCGCAGATCTGCACATCTATGATGCGAATTTCCCGTTCCACTGTGCGTTCAGAGATGCTCTTCTTCCCACCTTGGTTGTAACGGGTGGTTATTTGAGCGAACCAGTCTGGCCATTCTCCTCTGACCTCTGGCATCAACAAGGCATTTCCGCCCACAGAACTGCCGCTCATTGGATGTTTTTTCTTTTTCGGACCATTCTCTGTAAACCCTAGAGATGGTTGTGCGTGAAAATCCCAGTAGATCAGCAGTTTCTGAAATACTCAGACCGGCCCTTCTGGCACCAACAATCATGCCATGTTCAAAGTCACTCAAATCACCTTTCTTCCCCATACTGATGCTCGGTTTGAACTGCAGGAGATTGTCTTGACCATGTCTACATGCCTAAATGCACTGAGTTGCCGCCATGTGATTGGCTGCTTAGAAATTAGGTGTTAACGAGCAGTTGGACAGGTGTACCTAATAAAGTGGCCGGTGAGTGTATAGTCTCTTGTTTTGTCTAGTTATTTGTTTTGAGAGGTAAACATCACAGCTGACTTCAACAGTGGTGAAAGAGTTTCCTCTTTTAATATATTTACCTTCTTTTGAACTGACTTAGATACTATAGTAGTTATAAAGTTTTGCTTTTCTATGTCAATGCTCCCTTTAGTGTGCACAGTATAGATGCAATAGAGCAATAGCAGTTTTATTTTGTTACTTTGTTTAGCCAAATTTGCTGTGGATTTTAGATAGAGGTATAAATCTGTTGTTGAGTTTTTCTAAAAATAAAAATTCTATTAAAAAAATAATAGTCACCACACGACTTTTGTTTTTAAGTTTGCAAGGATCCTTTTTTGTATTTTAAAAGTCAGAGTAAATGTCCGCATGGGTGGGTGGTTCATTAATCAACTGCAGAGACTGTTGAATTCTCTATGTATGAGTAGGAAGGTCTGAATGAAGGCTTGCTTTCCAACAGTGCCAGAGGTGAGCCAGTCTACAGGAAAAGATAGAAAATCTCTGATTTACCCATGTATTATTCCTGGCTTCCTTTTACCGCTGCCTCTTGTTCTCCTCACGGCTGAATATTTACAGATGCCCAATTCATGTGGTATTCTGTGACACAGCTCTTATTTTGTCCACTTGACCTCCATCCTTCGTTCTACCCTTTTTTCTTCTGCCTTTTTAGTGTTTCCTTTTCAGAACCTCCTTTTGTATCTTCAGCAGTCTATTATGCATCCACATTTTGTCAAAAGCTACAGGGTGCACTCTAGTGGTTCCCTAATTCATGTCTTAACTGCATCACCACAAGGCAAGGAGAGCACCGTCAGCAACACAGCTGTCAATATGATTATATGTTTGAAACTCCAGTAAATCTAACATAGCAGTTAAAAGATGTATTTTAGATTCCTCACAAGCACAGGGCTTTGTTGGCTCCTGTTAAAAACAAAATTGTTAGATTCTATATAATTGTATCTTTTAGGATTTACATACGTGAATAAACAACACCATGGAATGGCACTCTACAGTGTCTATGTTTCTTCTCAAGCTGAAGGTTTTTTGGGAGGACATTGTGTTATTAACGGACACAATAACGGACATCAGTCTCAATTTCCCATAACTTGCTGTTGTTTTTTCTTCATCAATCTAGTCCCCAGTGCTCCATTTCATTCCTGTGAGGTTACTCTATTTTCAGTAGTGTCTATATTTCCTCTCTCCGCTGCCTCCTTACTTTTGGCTGCCTCTCATTCTCTCAGCCTTTTTCTTTTTCACAATAAACCTCTCATCTTTGTCACTGTTCTTCAGTGCACACTTTAGATTTTCTCTCCTTTGGTCTTTGGTCCCT